AACACAACATTAAAATGTAACACACACAGAAACGAACTATAATATAACAATGGCCATTTTCCTGACTTGGTACAGGACATTTTAAGAAAAAAATGGTGGGTTGAACCTGGTTTTGTGGCTATCCAAACCTCCCGCTTTTATGGCAATGTTAAATATAACATTAAAATGACAACATTACATGACAGGACTACAATACAAATAAATGGGAGAACATATAGGACAGAGAAACATACGAATAATAGCTAACAAAAGATACCAGGTTTAAAATTTAATACGCAAGACGCGCGTTTCGTCCACACAAGACTAACCAGTGACGCTCAAATCAAAAAAGAACGAAAGCCAAAACAAGTACCAAGCCGAAGAGCATCGAGGACCAAAAGTTCCAAAAAGGTGTGCCAAATACGGCTAAGGTCATATATCTGGGATACGAAAATCCTTAGTATTTAGAATAATTCCTACTTTTGCAAACAGTAAATTTATAAAAATGACTATATAATAGATATACATGAGCACACTGAAGTGGTGACTAACTACAGAATAAAAACAGATACATAAAACAACATAAACCAGAATATAAAAATTCACAGCCGAGTTAGCCAAAATGATCAACGCAAAAAAAGTGAAGTCACATTTGAATTTCTGAAATTTCCCCAAAGTAGGATAGAATTAGGATAGAATTCAAGATTTGGCTTATAATACTCATATAACATTTATTAATAACAATGAAAATAACAATACTAATTTATATAAAATGTGGTAGTAATTAGATAATTAATGGTATTATCTAGCTATGTCGGTGTTTCTTCTAAATCAAACTGTAAACCAAACATATCGTATAAATTTAGTTGACCAAAACTAAATTCTATCTAATGAACTGGGTGATTATTTATCTTTACCATAACACACAAATACAACAGAAAAAAATAAGATTTACAACTACAAACGATAAGACATTTAACAAGATCCGATGAGAATAACAAATATAACATCAAAACTAAATACATGAATTTTGGATAGAAAAGTACCGTGACACGTCTTATAGCAATGCGAATTCACACTCAGCAAAATAGTCACAATCGGGAATAAGTCACGTTCGGTAATAAAAAGATCAGACGACGTAATGTCAAACCACAATCTAACACGTGGTAAAAATGTCCTTAGTTATTTTGGACAAAGACACATCGTATGGATCGACCAATTCGTGATGGTGTCCGTAAAATTTACGGAGTGTCATTTTTAATCTGTCTTCCTCATAACTTTATTGGAGCAGTTTCTACGTTAGGAGCACACTCCTGTATATGAAGTCCGTATAGTGTGAACATGCACGAGCATAACGTATCAACTGCGATATGTAAACACCATACGAAGGAGCAGAGGGTATGTTACTGCTGAGAAATGGGAAATTGATAATTGGGAAGTTGAAATCGTTCCGTTTATCATAGATTTTCGTGTGAAGTCGTCCATCTGTGTCAATATTGAGGAAAAGATCAAGGTATGAAGCAGTCCTTCTAGTATCAGCAGTATCCTTAATTTCAAGTTCACTGGGATATATGAGATGTAAGTATTGGCTGAAATATGGGTTATTCAATGATAGGACATCATCAATATATCGGAAAGTATAATTAAAGAATTTCGCAAGGTGCTTTTTCTTTTTGTCTTTAAGAAGGTTCTGAATGAATTCTGCTTCATACGATTACAAAAACAAATCGGCCAGAAGGGGTGCACAATTAATACCCATTGGAATACCGACTGTCTGTTGAAATATAAATCCTCCAAACGCAACAAATATATTGTCGATCAAAAAGTCCAGTATTTTGATATTTTCTGATAGATTTAGTGTGGTTCTTCACAAAATATGAATTATTGTAACCCAAAACAAGAAATTTGTATCTACGATTGCCATTTTTATAGAAAAAGCTCTGTTTAATGAGATGGTGAAGTCGATCTTTCAACTGAGCATGGGGAACAGTAGTGTAAAGCGTAGAAAAATCAAAATGTTGCTGCAAAATTGCAAAGATTGTGATCGGAGATTAAGCAGTAGACCTTTCGAATTTTTGAGAATCCACATCTGGTTAACACCACTGGTAGAGTATATCTCATCACAAAACTTTTGAAGCCCATCTTTAACTGAAGAAAGAATAGTAGTCAGTACTTTAGAAAGATGTTTAGTCGAACATTTTGATGACCCAGCTATATATCGTGTTTATTTTGGAGTTCTGTGAAGTTTTGGTATCCAGTATAATGATGGCAAATTTTCTTCGTTTTCCTTGATGTTGATACCAAAAGAAAGAAGGACAGATTTGTGATTTTGTAAAATTTCGTCCTTGGTAAATGATGTTAAAGAATATCCACAACATCCAGATTCTTGAAAGAGTTAGTATTTCTTGTGCTCATAGTACATCGTAGTTTTTGAATGCGCTTCTGAATGCATGATCGAATAGCTTTGATCCATTCAGACAAAGTGTCCAGTTCTGGTTTGTCTGGTTCGCGCTTTACCCATTTTCTTGCATAGTCCTCAACTGCATCCATCAGTAACCTGAAGTTCTTTTTCCAGTTGATGGGCTGGGGAATTCTATATTTTGGTCCCTTGGCTATATACCTTTTTATCAAGTTTTGTGCAACAGCAATACAACTAATAACAGAGCACGTGTTTAAGACTGAACTATCAGTGAGCACACATCCAACATCCAATGAATTTAGTGTAAACACGTCATCAACATTTAAAGAAAAACACGGACTTTTCCACTGCCAAAATATAGGTGTAGAAAGATTTTAAACCGTGAATGTACAAATGTGTATAACAATGATATAAAGTTTTGTTTAAATTGTATGATAACAAAATCAATATTTTAGCCGATAAAAACAATATTCAAATCTTTAATTACAGTTTTGAATTAGTTTATCTCAAGATTCTATAAGTTGAACCGGATCGTTTCTAAATATACGAGTTCAGTAAATAATATCCCCGTGAACATAATAATGTGCTACAACAGCCAACTTTCTAAACCAATTCCTTTAATCCATTAAAAAACTAAGTAAAGGGTTTTAGTAATTTGTGGTAACTAATCCTTCACTCAATAATTCACTAGTATTACACAGATTACGTCCATTAAACCCTAAAACGTCACTACAGAAACGGGCATAACGGACGAGTTGGGATGTATGGACATCGTTATATGGTGCTAAAGGAAAATCACGGTCAAAAAAATTAAAATTTTCAATAGTGAACGAAATATCGTCCTTTTTGTAGTACAAGCGTGATGAGTTTCGCGTGTATACTTGAAATGTCTTTATCTAGGAAAGGGTGGTAATTACCGTTTTATATGATATATTTAAAGTAAGTTCCTTTTTGGTAAATTTCAGTAGTATATTTAAAAAAATCTTGCCTATTTAAAGAAAACATATAATCAAGGCAACTGTGCAGTAAAGGAATAAGTCTGCTATTTAAAGAGCGCAATTGGTGCCCATAGTAATACTTACATTCTGTGGATCGACTTGATCGTTGAAACGTACATAAATTTGGCATGGAGAAAATATGCAGATTCAATCATCTCATTAAACCTCCAGTAAATATATCTAGCATATTTCACCCTTTTTATTAGAGAAGAAGGCTTTATATGAGTTTCATCATATAAATTTGCAATCAGATTTTTTGACGACCATCTAACTAATTAAAAACACGTTTGATTGTTAAGGTTGTGTGGAAATGTAGTGTAAAAAGTTGGGAGGTAAAATTTGTCAACTGATTTGAAACAACCACCAAAAGCACGTACACTTTATCTAGAACATCAACAGAATGTTTTACACTCCCAAAATAGTTCATTCCCCTAATTCCATATAAATTATTACTTACGTTAATTATAATATTAAGAAACTAGTTCAAGGCAATGAGTGATAAGTTGTAGTACACTTACTGAAAGCTGATATTTTACAGGTTGTTTGTGTTTTTCAGTTACCATTGCATAGTAAGGACTTTAAAATCGTCAGCAGGGGCTTTTAGCTTGGATGTTGCGATGATATGATTATTTCATCTATGACTTTCTGTGCAGTCGAAATATCTTTCATACAAGTTAGAGGTTAAGACCAATATATATCCTCCATTTACTACATAGGGAAATGCCTATACCAAGTCAGGAATATGACAATTGTTTTCCATTGATTTGATGTGTAAGCTTTGGATTTTGCAATTTGATAAAAGACTTTCCGTTTTGTTTGCAGTTCGGTATTTTTGATATTTTACTTTTTTTCCATAGGTAGAAGAAATATTAACTATTTCTTAAGAGCTTCTTTGTTCATGCGGTATGTACGGTATACCACCTCGAATGTATATACCCTTTTACCAGGAAGAGATGACCTTACCTGTATTTGCCATATTTTTTTAATCATTTCGGGTCCACAATGCTATGCTCTTCAGCTTCGTAATTTGCTTTGCCTTTTTTTACTTTGTTCGATACGAGGGTTGATGGTGAGTATTTTGAAGACAAAACGCGTTTCTTGTGGATAAAATTTCAATCCTGGTATCTATGATGAACTTATTTATTTATTTTTTCGTCAATTTATTTCAAAATGATAAGTTAAAATATCTACAATATTCATACATCTATCTTAATAACATAAATTGTTTATATACAATGAAAGAGCATGTTAGATCTGCAAATTTACTTAAGCAAAATGTTTTGTTCTTCCCTCAGGAGGATTAAAACAAATAGTTCTGAGACATCGTGGCAGCACTGTCTGGACTGTGTCCAGCCACTTAACCACTGGATCAGCTAGGCTTGATAAAAGCATAGCTTTCAATAGTCGAGTAATGGTTTTCCCTGTCGGCGTTCTATAGGGTTGTTATATATATGAATATACACATCTAGCTCTTTTTCTGCTTCGAATTTATAATTCATTTGTTTTAGTTGAAAGGATTTTATTCCAATATATTAGATACACACGAATAATAAGTTACATGAGTTGATGATAACAATTTGTTTTGTACTTTTCTATTGAAGATTTCGTTATCCTTCAAACTATACGTACCAGACCGAAAATGTGACTATGGCAAATAAACCAATAGGTATAGCAATTGATCCGTTATACAACCATGTGTATTGGATAGAACGATATACAGGAAAGCTTTATGAATGTAATATGGATGGGTCAAATCAATTGTTAATACTACAGGATGATCCAATGTTTGCTTTAACATTAGATGTTACTAACAGGTGTGTCTATGTCTGTCCAATATATAGAAAATTATGATTCAAACAGTAAAAAAAAAAACCCAAATACTGCTACATTGTTTACACATCTCTTGGCCATAAAAAGTGAACGTCTATTTCTTTGATTTTTTTTGGATTTTTTTTAAACTAGGTTAATTGTGTCATCATCCTAATAACCATACATTTTGTATCCATGTTTGACCTATCATTTGAAAATAATAGTTAAAATAGAAATGTGGTTTCTTAAAATTGCTTTCAACATGATTTTCTTTTTAACATGATGATACATTTTTGTTATCTAGACAAGAATAAAAATCCAAACAAACCGCCTTGTATGTTTATAATAAGAAATATCCTCCTCAAAAGGATACGGCAATGCCAAAACATCGGGCAATGCAAGGGAGAAAGAAAAATCAAAAGCCGAACAGATACTACATGTATGTTATCTTCTGTGTTTATAGAAAACCCAAATGTATGAACTTATTTTGGATTTCGATCGAAAGATCAAATATATATGCATTTTAAAAATGAAGTGCTGCACAAAGATTTGCACCTCGTATGAAACTATTTAACTAATTTGATCATTTATATAACAGATGGGTGTATTACAGTATAATTGACACCGCAAACAACGTAATAAGGCGAGCTAGATTGAATGGGACTGAAATACAGACTTTTACAGATATTCATACACAAACAGTATCTGGTTTGAGCATAGGTATGCTACCCGATCATAACTTAAATGACCATAGCACAATAACACCATGGCGGGATGTAAACAATACCGAACCACGCCAAAAGTGTATAACCAAAAATGAACTAAACAGTAATGGTTAAAAATGTACAACGAACATTAAGATGCACAACGTCAGTACCTAGAATCTATACTTCAAGACCGTTATGAATTATTTGTGAAGTTGATACGGAATAGTCATCAACAAGGTCTTGGTATCTTTCATGTTTGTTTAGAAAAAGGACGAGATGTTTTTTTGACATAACCCTGGTTGATCAACTTTCTGCTCAGACACTGGTTACGTTTCATTAAGTCTGAATAGCAGCTACAAGCTCTTGAATGAGTTGGGAAATGTTTATCCCGTATGCAGGTTAGATTGATATATTGCTGCTAAGGTGCGGGAAATTTATAATTTCAAAACTAAAATCGTTTCTTTTGTCATAGATTCTGGTACGGAGACGACTGCTTATGTAAAATTACAGGTATATGTCTAAAATTAAGACTGCGGAAGCCGTGACAGTTGTTTAGTGAATGTCTAGCTCTAAAGGATATATTATTAGAATCCAATGAAATAAATTTTATACAATAATGTTACGAAATAAAAATGCGGAATTAAAATTTGATCAGTTTAATGCATACGCTATTGTCTACCTTTCCTGTTGAGCTAAAACCGGGAGTTATATACATCTGCAGTAATGGTTCTAACACTTTCTGTTATTGAATGAAGAAGTTTTGTGTACGTCACACTATTATTTATGACATGTTAAGTCACAATAGTATGTTTTACGTTAAGCCAACTCTATCTGAAAGCATGGAACACACACCACAATAGATGGCGTCTTTGAGATCATCAACATATATTATTACAACTATTACATGCACAGAAAAATTATTAACTTTTAATTCATAAACATAGAGAATGTTACCAGTTTAACATTTTTTTGTGAATGCATGGAATAAATTATCAATAAAACAATCTTCATATTAGATTCCAACGAAGGGCACATTTATTGGATGGAGTATATAACTGGGGATTTGATGTCTTCAAATATTAAAGGAACTGCCGTATCACAAGTTTTCATGACGAGTACTACCAACACAAATAGAGGCATCCATGCATATAATAACATAATATACTGTTCAAATGGCAATCAAGTACAAAAGGTCACAGTTTCATCAGTAGTTACAGCGAATGTCATATTCACAGACAAAGAACAAATTTATGGTGTATTGATTTACAATGAAAATAGTAAGTATGTTAACCGGTATCATCTTTTTTTGAAAACAAATATATATTTTTTAACACAACGGATTGCTATTTAGTTGTATCATTGATACTTTCCATTTGCTTGGAAATACTTGACACTTTGAACTTGGAACTTACAGATGCAATGTATTCTGCAATAAGAATATTCTTATATAAAGATAGTATTAAATAGATTAAGATATACGTTTCCTATTTTCATGATATTAAAAATGCAAACCCGCAGTTGTCTTTAAATATTTCATTATTTGATTTGTCAAACGTTTTGATATATTGTTGTCTCAACACATTTATATTAATTTCTGTATCTACGTTTTTTTAATATGTTGGAGCAGCTTCATGCCTCCGCTTCCACGCATATGATTATAATCAAAAACTAGATAATGCTTTGACATATTTATGAATAATTTAATTTGCTTCAATTACAACTAATCCTGTATATAGAATTGAAGAATCACGTTTGGCGATGCGTGATACTAGTATTGAATATTGCAGTTCTTTTAATATCAAATCAATAAATACAAATATCACCCACCCTAAATAGTTTCTTGATGTTATTGTATTAATCCCCTGGTCAGATTTTCAGTTCATAAATGTCAGCGAAATTTGTTTATGGGAACAAAATGACACCAGTAGCCGATACATAATTGATACATCTGTGTAAATATTCATTTACATTAAAAATAACCTATTTCTATTTATTTATTTTGCATTTATGTTAAAATTGTTTTTAGTTTTGCAAGTATTTTATTCTCCTGTTTGCTTTGAAGATATGTTTAGTTTTAATTTAGATATCTAGGGACATAACATATAGTTTGACTCCAGTGACAGACATTTGTGAGTGAGATTTTTTTTATCGGTCGTCCCACTGTATATATTACTCTGCTCAGCTCATAATACAATTGCATATCACCACTTTGTGACGTCAAATACGTTGACCCGGCCTTAATAACTTTGACCCGGACATTTCAGCGACGTCACAATATATGAACCAACGTTGATAAGTTTGACCCGAACTTATCAAGTGATCTTCAGTTTTGCTGGCGAATCAAAGAAAACACTTGTTTCTATTATGCAAAATATGCAAATACAACCCGATAAATCGATTATTTGGATGTCTGAACCTTGATATTATCAGATTATTATATGGCATTTTTTTTATATCAGATGTATTATCAGCCCAAGGTTCATTATCAGCCGAAGAGCCAAAGGCTGATAATGTATCATTCGGTATTCACGGGGTTGCAGTTGCTACTCTGATGTTGACCGAGGGCTGATAAAATATCTGATATTAGAAATGAAATATCATGATCTTTTTATCATATGCTTCAGCAATAGAGAAAAAAAAAACAGTTTAATATATTGATCGTGTTAAGTCGTTCTCAAGTAGAAGTTCAAAAAGTGAAAAGTTTACGGATGTCGGACGCCAAATGTTATACATCCGATATGAAATCTTTCTATCATATGCCACAACAGAGGAGAAAAACAACTGTATATTATATGTTTATATTGACGATAACAACAAAAATTCAATAAAACATAATGAAAACTGTTCGTTGTGCTCACTCGACAAAAAGCTTCATATTGTGACTCGCAGCTTATATTCTACGATATCAATATGCAGACAACCTGATAATCGGTACATATCAATTGATTAAGATGGAAATGCCCATTTTTCAAATTTTTTACTGTTTGATAACTTTGTCAAAGCTAGTACTGCATTCAGGAATTGCTAACATGTAACTATGCACTTTAAGGGAACAATGAAATAAATCGTGACCCTATAATGCAATGTGCGCATGCACATTTAATAACAAATATAAATTGATGTAGTTCACATTTGTTTTTCGAATAAAGAATGTACATATGTTAATAATGAAACAAGGAAACACAAAAAAAGGTAAATCTTTTTTTATTAATCAAATGTGTTTGATAACACTCAAATATATTGTAGCTTTCAATGAACAGAAAATTCAGATGCGGATTGCAGTACGCCGGGATGTAATAGAATTACAATAACCGTAACTGTCTTTCTTATCGATCAATGTAAGTATTATGCTTTTCCTATGTAAATAAGTCCATACATAAACTTAAATTGTTGTTATATTCACTTTAAATTTCCAAGAGTCTGCAAATATCATATTTTGCACTCAACCAGTAAGGTCGAGCACAGATGTTATTTGACAAGACTCAACATAATCTTAGCAGTACTTACCAAACGGTATAGGTTTTTCTCATTGATGAAGGCCGTACGGTTGCCTATAATTGCTTTCATCCACTTCATTTGAACTTTGACGGATAGTTGTCCTACTGGCAATCATACCACATCTCCCTATTTTTATATTAACTGTAGTTGTCCTTGGTTTAGACTTTATTTAATAAGTCTGATTGAGTACTTGATTATCTAGGTATAGTCTGAATATGGTCTCTACAAATGCTCGGCAAATAACGACTCTTGCATTGACCATTTTCGAATACGTCTAGACGACACGATCAGGCGTGACCTTCAAATCTAGTCTCGACTGTTCTTGACGTAATCTTAATAAGCGCATTAATGTCAATTACATATTGATCTTACAAAATGCCAGGTTATTTGGTAGTTTCATTTATTGCTGTCAAATTTGAGGATTCAATTAATAAGCATAAAAAGCTAGAATTTTCTGTTCAGACCAAATTTAGATAGTCCCCTATAACACTTTCTACAAGTTTTACAATTCAACCTTGATTTTGTTAAATCTCTACAGCTATCTCAATTTTTATTGATTTTACAAAGTGTCACGTTATTTGGTTGCTAAGTTTATTGCTGTCAAATTTAAGGAATTATTTAGTAGGAAAAAACCTAGACTTTTCACTTCAGACTAAACTCAGATAATACCTTTTAAACATTTCTGTGACTTATTCAAATAAACTTGAATTTGCATAATCTCCACAGCTATCTCAATTATATATTGATCTTACAAAATATAAGTTTCTTTGGGGGTTTTAGTATTGTTGCATATTAAACGATTTAATTAAAGTTAGATGTTTCAATTCGGACTAAATTCAATTAATTTCCTTTAAAAATTCTATAATTTTTAAATCAACTTGGATGTTCATAAAACTGGACAGCTATTTCAATTATATATTGAACCAAACTACCAAATAAGCTGGCATTTTGTAAGATCATTATATAATGTCATCAAGGCAGATACAAGTAACCAAGGATCCTTCTTTTTGTTACATTGTTTCACTTTTTTTAATCGGTGACCACAAATGAGTAATCACTCCTATTACATGTTGTAATACGTTATGCTGATCTAGTATTGTATATGTACTTTTTATCGCGGTGCTTTTATTTTCACGATTTCCGCAGTAGTTATATTATCGCGAAAATAAATTCACGCGAATTTTAATACCTTGCATAGAAATAAGAAGATGTGGTATGAGTGCCAATGAGACAACTCTCCATCCCAGTCACAATGTGTAAAAAGTAAACAATTATAGGTCAAAGTACGGCCTTCAACACGGACCCTTGGCTCACACTAAACAGAAAGGTATAAAGTGCCCCAAAATGACATGCATATTTAATACCATTTAATACATATCACCGTCACCGGCATTCTACAAATTACCAAGATACACAGTACCTTTCTATGAGTAATTCACGCAGTAATTATTAGAAGTCCAGTTTCATTAAGGGAATAGACGCTTTTTTTTCACGAAAATGTCCATATTCAAGTCAATGCTTCTGAAACGTAGACATGTATAATACACCGGTTAAGATAGACATGGATTTTGAGTTCTACATTTGTAAGTGCCGGTTTTTATAATGATACTGTATCTAGTTAATGATTTAACCATCCATATGCAACATATATATATATATATGAGATCAAAGTTGACAAATAGCTTCTTGATCTGGATAAAGAAACACAGGACTTAGCAACGCGTACTGAAACTAAGTTTTTGTTTTCTTACCTTGGACGTAAAAAGTCGGAATGCGGATACATATGTTCAAACTCTGTTAGGTCATTTTTTAGTAGCAACAAACAAAATAACTATGTCAATTGGACATGCTTTGATACTATATCTGCCCTTGTATTTTTACTTGATAACATTTTTGTTCGCTTTGGAGATTCCGTATATCGTCAAGTTATCGGAATTCCAATGGGGACTAACTGTACACCACTTATTGCGGACCTGTTTTTGTATTGTTATGAGTTACAATTTATGACTAAAATCAGCAAAGACCCATCGAAACAACATCTGATACAGCGAGAGAAATTTATGTATTACTGAAAAATTATTACACCAGGGTTTTCGATATCATAAACTAGTCAACACATTTACTAAATTTTATCATCGGTATAAGGACATCATTCGTAAATATAACTCAATATGCAGACATCTTATACGTTCGGGTATTTCACATCCAATCTTTTATGGTAATATTCTTTACAAAGCACAAACATGTCAGTATTCAACTCAAAAGCTAACAAAACCTTTAAACAGACTTATTAAGAAGGGATATAGTTACGATACTGTTGTCAGGTCATTAAAGATTGCATATTTTGGCTTTAATATTGAGTCACTTATAGGGTCTTTGCATCGGAATTAAATACATTCATTCTAAAAACAGTTGTTGGCATGACACGGGTTATGTTCTTCTCATATATTTTATGACGGTATAATACTAAACCCCTAACAGGAGGGATTGTGCCTGATATTCATATGATGAAGACATAATCTTTCAATCAGTTTAATTGAGGTCTGGAGTTGGCATGTCGGTAACTGCTAGTAGTCTGTTGTTATTTATGTATTATTGTCATTTTGTTTATTTTCTTTTGTTTTCTATTCTGACATTGGACTCGGACTTCTCTTATACTGAGTTTTACTGTGCGTACTGGTGTGCGTTTGTTTTTGCTACATTGGCTAGATGTATAGGGGGAGGGTTGAGATCTCAAAAAACATGTTTAACCCCGCCGCATTTTTGCTCCTGTCCCAAGTCAGGAGCC